GTGTAAGACCATTGAGGGTAATACCTGATGGGCTAATCTTGCATCTGCCCACAGTCCTTGGGTTTTTATAAGGTGGCTTGACCCAGGGACCATTTAGTGTAAATGTTGGGCCCATTAAGAGCCCATGGTGATGGACTCAGGGGTTCACTGTCTTCTACAGTGAATTCGGCCAGGCCTTGTAAAAGAGGCTGGGCTGAACCCATGGGGCTGATGTGTAGATCAATGTTTGGGTCCCATTCCATACAAGGATACCCAACTGGCAGCCGTTTGGAGGATAAGTGAGCACCCTGAATTAATGGGCCTAAAGCCCAATTCGAACTGGTTTAATATGATTAATTAAAGAGGGGCGGTTTTGGTATTTAGATCAGCAGATAGGATAAGGGATTATCCCTATCCACTCAGAGAGTCCAGATCCAAATAGAGATTTGGATCAGGAAACTTCTAACTAGATTAGGAGGGCCRATCTTTATCTGCAGATAAGATAAGGGYTTATCCTTATCTCTTAAAGAGAGTCCAGATCCAAATACAAGATTTGGATTAGGAAACTCCTAATGGGATAAGGAGAATCTCTCTTTAAGGCTATAAGTAGAGGAGGAGGGCGAACTACTTTACCCAATCAGATTACAGATTCAAGAGAGAAGACAACTCTAGTTAGACTGATGTCATCTTCTGCTCTTGCCTCCTCCTATTGCTGCCGCCATTGCCAGTTCGATCTCCACCTGTAGGAGCGATCAAGAAAGGTTCTGGATATCAGTTTTTGGTGAAAAGCTGATATGAAGTCGTGCTCACACACCCTCCATCGAATTCTTGCTGAAGAGTTCGGTTCTTGCTGAAGAACCACCTGCTGATTCTGCTCCACCCTACGCTGTGTCATCTTCAGTGGGAGCAGTCTTTGGCGTTTTCCTTGGGTGTGAAAACCTTCGTTGGGAGTTACTGTTACTCCGTATCAGGTACATCCCTCTCCTACCTTTTGGTTTCAGATTTGGTCCAGTTTAGGTTCAAGATTGATCCTTGAAAATGCAGTTTTTTAAAACAGGGAATGTGATTCCCATATGGGAGAGAGAGAAATTTTTTAAATTTCGCCCTACCTACCTGTAGGGTTCGGCTATCCATATGATGGATCTCTCATCCCTTCATAAATTTCCTAGTGAAAGAGATTTGGCATAAACCTATCCCTCCTAAAGTTCAAGGTGTGTGTTGGGAAGTGTTCCTAGGAAAGATTAATACCTGTGAGAGGCTATAGAAAAAAATGCCTAATATGTGGCTATCTCATGTGTGTGTCTTTTGCAAAGCGGGTGTTGAGCAAGGTTTAAAATTTCGATATGGTAGGGGCATATCGTCCTGTATCGAAGCTCACCCACCTTTTTTTCTTTGAAACTGGTTTAGAGGGGTTGGTCTAAGGCTGGTCTACCCCCTGAACYAGGTCACACCCCGATACGACCCCTGTAGGGGCGTATCGTTAAGTCAACGATATGCCCGTAGTCAATTCTGCTTCTTGGCTCTATAGACATGCTTTCAGGGAAATAGACTTCCTTGCAAGAAGGATCACATATTCTATTAGTTGGATAAGGAGAACAGCAAATGTAATGGGAATGAAGGGTTGTATTTTGGTGATAAAATCTAATTAAAAAGGGATGAGGGGTTGTATTTTGGTGGGCCTTGGGTGTTAGCTTGGGGGGGTGATATCTTGTCACCTCTTTGTTCTCTCTCTCTCTCTCTCTCTCCCTCCTTTTCTTCAATAAAAGTTTTCTTTATCATTTAGTACCAAAAAAAAGCTTTCTCAGGAGTTAAGTGATCTGTTACAAGTTGAACTATTGAAGGGTCTAGAAGAACTAGGGGCAGACTGAAAATGAATTAGGTGGAAGTAATAAGAAATGATTTAAGTGTCCTTAATTTAATGGTGGATATGGCAATGAACAGAATGGATTGGCAAAACAGGTTTCRTGTAGCCGGCTCCATATAGTTGGGACAATTCTTTGATGACGATGATGAAGCTTGCTTAGGAGTGATCGAGTTAATAGTGGGTTTTTTGATGAATGAAGATTGTCATTGTTGACCCTTTTACATGGCTAAGCTTCTGTTGCATTTCCATATCAAATTTCAGACCTGATCAATGATCTTTTATGAGCTTTATACCTTTCATCTATGCGATCACCAAGCATTAGCCCTAAAAGCATAGCTAGAAGGGAGAAAACAGCCTTTTGGTTCAGTTGCCTTCTATACACCTTCAACATGATGCCCTTCAAAGTCCCTTCGAATGGTTTTACTCTTAAGAGCTTTCAAATTTGAATCCATGGTCTGAAGGGCTTTAAATAATTGATGGCCTGTATGAATTTAAGTTATTTTATTTTATTTTATTTTATTTTTGCTTAATGGGACTACACAACAGGGGGTAGCCCAACCCCCATACCCATAATCTCTGACCCTGGTGGCAATGGCATTTGATCCCAAGTCTCCGCTACAACTAGCTTAGTTGATTTTGACCCACAAACCTTATAAAGTCATCACATGCACAGTTTGAATTTACGCTCTATCTTTCCTATGCCCAATCACAACAAGAGGAATATATGTTAGAGGTAGGGCTGTCAATTGGACTGGATTTGGTCCGATTCGGTCCAATCCAATGTTGGTCCATTTATAAATGGATTGGACCAAATGCAGTCCAAATCCATACAAACCCAATCCAATCCAGTCCAAATAAAGTGCAAATGGATGGGATTGGGTCTAATCCAATCCAAATTCAATCAAACACCAAAGTAACATGAGAAATCTAGAAAATATATAAAAAACTACAACACCTAATGCAATCCAATTTAGTCCAATTAAAATGCAAACGGATTGGATTGTGTCTAATGCAATCCAAAGTGAATGAATAAAAGCACTTTTGTAAAAGTGCTTTCATAAAAGTACTTTTGTAAAAATGCTTTTATAAAAGTACTTCTATAAAAGTGCTTTTATAAAAGTACTTTCGTAAAAATGATTTTATAGAAGTGCTTTCATTGAAGCACTCTCGTAAAAGTACTTCTATAAAAGTGATTTCGTAAAAGTACTTTTACTGTAGTGCTTTCATGTAAAAGTACTTTCATAAAAGCACACTTTCACAAAAGTGTTTCTTTATACCGGTTCAGTTTTGATCAGTTTCAAATTGGACAAGGGTTTGACCTCATGATTGGATTATTAGGAATAGTGTTTTAAAAATTGACTTGGAATTAGAACTATTCTAGCTACTGGTTTACGGGTCGATGGTTTGATCGTCCGGTTCAAATAGACGACCCATTTTAACAAAAAAATTAATTAAAATAAAAAGCAGTCAAATGGGTCGACGATTTGACCACCCGGGTCAACAGGTCATTTGACCAATTCAATGGTTTTTGGCCAAGGACTGGGTCTGGGGTAAAACGTAACCAATTTGCGTCAATAGCGGTTAGAAAACATTGATCGAGAATTTGGTTTAGGTCCGATGTAGATTGATAAGAATATGGGCCAATTTATTTTGGATTGACCCAATCCAATAATTATAATGGACCACCCAAATCCGATTTGATAAGGTTTGGATCGGATTGGATCCAATCCAAAACAAATCCATTGACACCAGTGTTTTCAAAATCGGAACGGATCGGGTGGTTGGACTGGAAAAACCAAGAATCGATCACTTGATTGGTTCAATTTCACCCTAAAACCACTTTTTGGCAAAAAAACCATTGATTTGGTCAACGAACCGTTGACATGGGGCAGTTGAACTGTTGACCTGGACAATGTTTTGGCCATTTTTTTGTTAGAGTGGGCTGTTTGTTTGGACCGGATAGTCAGATTGTTCGATTCAGGAACCGGTCCCCAAAATGGTTCCCTATCCAATCTAGTTTTAAAAACCTTGATTGACACTGCTAATATACTTAGCAACTTGGCGATGTAGCTAGAAACGGTTTGATTTTGGTTAACCAATATAGAAAACCATCGATTAACCGAACCGACCGGTATACATATATTTCTATATTATATATATTTTAAAAATTAACAAATATGCACTATGTAAAAATATATTTATAATATATTATATATTATTTAAAATATAATATTATATATATATATTTATAATATATATTGTAAAAATTAAAAAACCGACAAACCGAACCGGTCAACCGGTTAACCGACTGGTTTCGGTTCGGTTCCGGTTACCGGTATTACTGGTTTGGTTCCAAAAAATGCCCCACAGTTGGTTAACCGAACTGTGAGCACCCCTACTCTCTGAGTCCTTAATGGAGCTTAAGAAAATTTGGAGTGAAACTGTAGAATACATTAAATTTCTCTGCGATCTATTATTGAACGGACGATTGAATGGACTTGGACAATATCCATTTCGGCTCATTAAAAAACTGGATGGTCAAATTTCGGACCAGTCCAATCTGAGTTCAAATTTCGGACCGTCCATACTGATTCAATTAGATAAGGTTCGGGCGGAGTCCAATCCGAACTCAGTCCATTGACAGCCCTAGTTATAGGCATAGTTTCTTCTAAGGCTACCATGTTGACATGTCTCAATCTATCACCTTGGGATTCATGATGTTTCTTTCTTCAATTTCTGCCTTGCTCTTTCTTCTTCATTGGTAGTGGAAGAACCTGTTCATCATCTCACTCTTAACTTATAATCCCACAACACGGAAGCCATCAATTTGGGCTCCTCTTCCCTACCCCTATGGTGATATCTCCACGCATCCCTTTCTAAGTTGAACCGATATTCTTTTTGAAACCTGCCCAACCCATTCTGTACACTTGCAAATGGTAGGAAGGGGTAGACACACTTTGCTCAGCCTAGTCTTGGAACTCTCCTTGTCTTCTACAACTTTGAGAATGTGTATTTCACTACTAACCACCAGCTCTAACAATTTGGGTATTATAGCTGGAGATTTTCCCCATATCAGTAGTGTTATTGAGTCCAATGTTTTCCATAAGATTGTTTTCATCTACTGGAATGGAACCATTGAGTGCATTACCATGTTCTAAGGTATGCGTGGTGCTGTCAAACATCTTCGAGCCAAATGTGGTACTGTTAAGGGACCGGGGGGGGAGGTTGAGTTGGAATGTAAGGTGTTTGAGGGAGAGAAAGAGGATGACAGTGGTGAGAAATTTAATTAGGCTCAGACCAGGGGTGGTACTGTTACAGGAATCTAAATTGGAATCTTTTAACATGGGCTTGAAAGAGGAGATTTGCATGAGGAATAGTGGGGAATGGTTGGAGTTGGATGCTGAGGGGTCCTTAGGTGAAGTAGTCATATTGTGGGATCCAGGGGTCTTAAGAAAGACAGGTGAAAAGGTTGGCTAGATGGAAGGGAGGAGCTGGAGTCAATGATAATAGCCAAGGTCATCAGCAGGGTTGTTCTCTTCCTGTCCAAGTCTCAATGGTAGCAGGAAAGCAAGGATAGTTTGGAGCTGTATCCCATTTCCTGTATCAGGGGTTATCTGGAATGAAGGAAACAGAAGATTGTTCAAAGACAAATCCAAAAATATTGAATTGCTTATGGCCCTGGTGGGGAAACTTGTGTTGGTTTGGGTTCTGGTACTTCCTGAATTTGTTCATATTAGTAGTTCAGATTTGGGGGTGATTTTTTGAATGTTCTTGAAATTCAGACTTGTAATATTGATAAGTTTCTGTTTTCTAGTCCTCAGTTGTGTTGTATTGGTGGGTGCCACCTTGTCACCTCTCAGATTTTTTGAATGTTCTTGAAATTCAGACTTGTAATATTGATAAGTTTCTGTTTTCTAGTCCTCAGTTGTCACCTCTCAGATTGTGTCTCCTTTTCTTTTTAATAAAATTTTCCTTTACTCTTCAAAAAAGACCTATAGCTGGGGCACTTTCATGTTCTAGATTGAGCTGAAAATCTACAAGATTGTTGTAGTATGTGCACTTTAATACCACCAAATTTCAGCCAAGTTGACCAAGATTTGACTGGTCAAAGAGTCATTTCCTTTCTTGTTGATGATGCATTCTGCAGGTCTGCTACCAGGCCCCTTCTCTCAGATTTCTTTCTTTGAGACTTGCTGAGAACCTTCTTGTAACCACTTGCATCATAGTGTTTGATTTAATGAAGTTGTTATGCATTACCTATGATTTCTCTGATTTATTATTTGAGAAAAGAAAGCTACTATTATTGTATTTGATGATTTCATTTATATATATATATATATATATTGTAATACGCTTTTAGTAATGCCCTAATCATATTAAGAATGGTCCATTAGTATCATTATACCTTTTTGAATTTCATTTTCAATTACATTACATGATTAGGTGATATTTTCTTGGTGCTGATGTTAGTCTGTTTTGCATTTACTAGGACACAGATACATTGAAGTCATTGACAATGGACAGTCACCAATATAAGGATTGCAAGTATTGTGCTGTAAGTTTAGCTTACTTTTGTTATGCACGCTTGTCTTAGCTGTTTTATTAATTCTCAGAAAGTTGATTTGTCCAAGAAGCAGGGAAGTTCAAAAGAATGGTATCCAACGATGAAATTTAAGGTTGCCTCGAAAGATTTGTCAAAGAAGAATACTTCTTCGGTTATAGTAGAAGTGAATGAAAAGTTGCCAAAGAAGTTTGCAAATAAAAATCTAGGTGAGGTATTGCCTACAGATTATTGGGATTGTATTCAGAAAGATCCAGAACAGGAAGAGAGTTTCTTGAAACCGAATCGAAGAAGTCTATCACCTTTCCAGGTAACATTGCCTTTTGCTACTTAGTTTACTTTAGTTGTGTGTTGTTCTTTCTATCAAATTGGAAATTACATTTATATTTGTGTTATCCATGTGAAATTTTTTTTCGTGAAACTTATGGAACCTGTAGTTTCTTTCTTTATAAAGTACTATTGTATGAAAAGTTGGGCTGACAGCTTGGAGCAATTTGTTTGGGAATGACTTTATTTTTCTGTGGATAGGGGTGATCATTTTTGGCCCAGCCCAGCCGACAAATTGTCGGGCCCGGGCCTAGGTTTTTGTGTGCGGGCCCAACCCAGGCCTACATCAAGCCTGGAAGATTCCGGGCCAGGCTGGGGCCAACACTTCAAGCCCAGCCCGGGCCTGTCCCGGCCCACAAAATAATAGAATATATTTTTAAATATACAAGTTTTTAAGTTTTGTTTTAACATATAAATAAATATTTATGAGTTGACAAATGTCAAACAAATGTGTCAACACTTGAGTCAATTCTAGAATTAGAATTGTCCTCCTAAGCAAGGGCTTATATATATGAAGGTCTTGCCTTCATTCCCATTCTTGAGCAATGTGGGACTTGGGAATACACTCAATGGTTGCACTATTTAGTGTTGTTCCAAGTACCACATTTCTCAAGAAGAGGAATGAAGGCCTTGCCTTCATCTATAAAAGGATGGTAAGCCAAGCCAAATCAAGCCTAGCAATTAAATGAGGTCAATGCCTTATTTTTTGTGCCATAGGCTTAATGCCTAGTCAAGCCTAATTTAACTTTGGCCTGTGTAATATTTCTTTGCATGTATTACATGTTATTTATTTAAAAAATTAAAATAATAAAATTTTTATTTATTTGATGTCATGGGCCCAAAGTCATTACTCATTAGGCTTGAAAGCCCGTTTGGCCAGCTTGGGCCTAGGCCTAGGTTAAAGCCCTTATCATTGGCGCTAAACCCAGCCCATGATCCTCTACATTTGGATTTCTCTTTCCTACACTTACATCTTATATAATTAGAAGGTATCTTTATGTCATCACAAATAATGAAATGCACTCTACATTATCATTGAATATTTTGGGTTTATTTAAATACTCAACTTGGTGAAATACATTTTTTTTGAAGGATAAAAAGGAAAATTCATTAAAACTGAAAAAAGCATCTCATCTCAGAGAAATGGTTGTCTAGTTGACACGCCAAAATTGAACAAATTTCAGTGAAAAAGACTCAAAATGACAAGGATTCAACTCTAGAGTACTCCAGAAATTCTCTATCAGATCAGACTTGTTCACTTGGTCAAACTCTGGAAGACTGAGAACCCAGGCTACAATCGAGTTGCACATCCCTGCTAACAAGTATTTGACATTCTTTGTCTTGTCCTCAATGAACCTTCTGCTTCTCTCTTTCCAAATGAGCCAACGTACAGTGAAAGGAATACAACTCCACAAAATTTTGGCTTTCTTACTACCTCTGATTTTCAGCCATTTAGAAAATATCTCAGATGGAACCAATGGGTGAAAGACATTCTCTCCAAACGAAAAGGAGAAAAAATTCCACATGAAATTTGCCACACTGCAAGAGAAGAATAAATGGATGATTGTTTCTTCCTCCTGATTACATATAAAACAGCAATTTGCTAACTGCAGGCATCCGGATTTCAAGTGATCATGGGTTTAGATACTGTCATGTGCCACCAGCCAAGCAAAAGCTTCCACCCTTGGGGGTACTGGATTACCCCACACTCCTTTTACCTGGTCCAACAAAGGTTTCTGAACTTTGGTTTCCAAATCACTTGATCCCCTCTCCACTCATAGCACTGCTCAATGGACACTTCATCTGTCAGCTCGTAAAGTCTAGGACACACCTCACACAATTTTCCCACCTCGAGCCATTCATCTTCCCAAAATCTTATGGCTATTTTAGCCAACTTTGAGATGTTCACCTTCAGCACTTGATTTTCTGAAGCATCTAGGAATATTAGTGTATCATCAGCATATTGTAGGTGAGATATACATGGACCTTCATTTCCAACTTTGAAGCCTTCTAACCATCCTCCCCCTTTCTTCATAATCAAATTTAGAGCTTCCATAACTATTACAAACAGCAGCTTGGAAAAATTCTGATAACACCCCATTGATTAACAATGAGAAAGAGGCTGATGAGATGCACCCGTATATCCACCCTCTCCAAACCTCTCTGAACCCCATCAATCTTTGCATTTCCTCCAAGAAACCCCATTCAACATGGTCGTAAGCCTTTTCTATGTCTAATTTGCACACTAAACCTGGCCTTCCACTTCTTAATCTTGAATCTATACATTCACTGGCCACCAGCACTCTGTCTAAAATCTGCTTCCCCTCTACAAAAGCCATCTGAGTTTCCCCTATCACCTCCTGAATTACTTTTCTCAGCCTTCCTGCCAGCACTTCAGCCAATAGTTTTATAGGGGCTGCTTATCAAACTAATCGGTCTGAAGTCTTTGTAGAAATAGATGCCTATCTCTTTTATATGTTCTAAACCTTTAGGTTGAGGTTGGATATTTTTTTATAGAAAAATACTTGGTAGAGACATAGATGTGCTTTTGGATAACATGATTTTTTTTAATACCCTTAGGTTGAAACTTAAAGTGGTTTTTGGATGTGGCCTTGGGTCTGCATGCTGGCATGAGCTTTTGCATGGTCCTGGATGTGGCCTATGGTCAAGGTTAGCTGGACTGGGTGTTCCCATTTTGTGTGCTGTTGCATGTCCATCATTGTACCCAAAAATACATTGAAAATGTGATTTATGAATAGTGGTTTTAACTTATTTGTATGTCCTTTATCTTCATTAAGGCTAGGCCTATGGAATTTTGAATTTTTATTGCTATTTGACATCTTTCTATACTTTCCATTGAATTTACATTCTTTTTAATTTCCTATTAGGTGGCAGTTGAATTCCTCTCTTGAACCCCATCCCTCCTGCTATAATGCATGCATGTGATGCTGAAACACATGAATGTGGGGAATGAAGATACAATGATCCATTTCCTAAGATCCTGTACATGGTTATGGGTATAGATATCCCATTTAAAATATGCTTATATCTGCTTAAGAACATGGTTCAGTTCTGACAGGGGCCACTTTGTTCAAAAAATAAGGTTAGGTTCATATCTAGTCCACCCCCCTTCCATGACTCCAAGTAGCTGGAACCAAAATTGGGAAATATCCCTTTATGATGCTTCTATAGCTCTCTTTTTGGAGGTTCATGGCCATGTGCCATTTCTTTATGCTTATATATCATCAAATTTACTTAAATTTTTAATATATGGAGATTATGGTATGATTTGTTAAATGGTACCGACTTACATATTTAAGAAAATGTTAATGCTATGTACTCTAGAAGGTCCATTCTGCACCTGGTGTTGTATTAGGCATGTATTGTGTCCAACACTGGTATTCTAGGCATGCACAGTGTCCAGGTATCATGACATCTCTTCCTAGTTCATTTTTCTTTGTGCATGTATATGATTTCTTCTTTCTTTCTTTTGGTAGGTTTATTGTTTACTAAAAAGTGTTGATCTAAGGTTCCTAAAGAAATTTGTTTTAAGACCAGAAGCAATTTTCCTTTCTTGCTTTCCTGTAACACCAAACTGTCACCGTATCATGGAGTTGACACATTTATCCTCTAATGGCCACCAATTAGCTTTTGTAAGTATTCCTTTTTCATTTTAGAACAATGTTTGTGTTCTCGTTTTTCTTGTGGAACTGATGGCAACTTGTCCTTTATTTGTGATCTTTTCATTGTGTTGTTATCTTTTGGGTATTCATTTAATTGTTGGTCTATAGGATGAACGCACCAAGGCTATGAAGAAGCTAATTGATTCTAAGAGGCATGCGAATGAGCTCAGTTTACATGTTCGTAATTGTCTAAGTGTCTCCAAGGCAAGTCAAATTTCATTTCTCTGTTCTTTTAGCCATTGTTAGTTTTAAATTACAAATTTATATTTTATGATTGTGCTGTTAATGTTGCAGCTGCATACAGACAAGTCACTTAAAAAGGACACTGTCTTGGGTAAGAATGATTCTGTTTCAAGTATGTGTGGTTTGAAATGGATCAAAGAAATTATGCTTGGCAAGCGAACGGATTATGCATTCCGTATGACTGTAATTGGAGACCCGAAAATTAGCTTGTGTGAAATTGGTGTACCACGAATGGTTGCAGAGAATTTACAAATTCCTGAGTATCTTAATGTACATAATTGGGAAAAACTGATTAACCATTTAAAGTTTCATCTCATTGAAAAGGGACGTTTCTTTATCAGGAGAAAAGGTAAACTGGTTCAATTATGTGATACAAGTGAACTGAAATTAGGAGACATTGTATACAGACACCTCGACGATGGTGATATTGTTTTAATAAACAGGCCTCCTTCAGTGCATCAGCATTCTCTCATGGCTTTGTCTGTGAAGGTCCTACCAATAAACTCAGTTGTTTCTATAAACCCACTTTGTTGTTCTCCTTTATCTGGGGATTTTGATGGTGATTGCCTTCATGGGTTTATTGCTCAAGCTATTGACTGTAGAGTGGAGCTCAGGGAGCTTGTTGCCTTAAGCAAACAGTTAGTTAATGGACAAAATGGTCAAAACTTGCTCTCACTGAGTCATGATAGTTTATCTGCTGCACATTTGGTTACACAGAATGGGGTTTTCTTGGATATGTTCCAAATGCAGCAGTTGAAAATGCTGTGTCCGCACCAATTGCAGATTCCAGTTATTCTAAAAGCACCATTGCTTGAAGCTCCTCTTTGGACTGGCAAGCAATTATTTGACATGCTACTTCCTCAGTCTTTTGATTATGTTTTTCCATCAAGTGGTGTCAAAATCAGTAATGGGGAGCTTTTATGTTCTTTTGGCGAATCTTCTTGGTTGCGTAGCAGAGCAGGCAGCATTTTCTCTGTTCTTGTCGATCATTACCAGAATAGAGCCATTGACTTCCTTTTTGCTGCTCAGGATGTTTTCTGTGAGTGGATATCAATGGGGGGTTTTAGTGTTTCTTTATCTGATATTTACATTGCTTCTGATTCACATTCCCGGAAAAATATGCTTGATGAAGTAAGATGTGGTTTGCAAGAAATAAAGAAGAAAATATATATCAAGCAGTTGATGGTGGATCCTGAGATGGTGCACCTTCTGAGATATGATGGAGAGAATACAAAAACCAATGGCTATAGAGTGGATCAAGAATGCCCCTCAAATCAGGAGTCGGTTGTCCTATGTCAAGTTTCCGTTAGTTCTTTTCGTGAAGCCTTTCATGATATTCAGAGCCTAATCCATCAATATGCCAGTAATGACAACTCATTGTTGGCTATGTTAAAGGCTGGGAGCAAGGGTAATTTGCTGAAAATAGTTCAGCAAGGCCTTTGTCTTGGTTTGCAACATGCTTCAGTTCCATTATCTTTCCAGATTCCATGCAAACTTTCCTGCGCTTCTTGGAATTACCAAAAGTCTCATGATATTCCTGCATGTAGTATATCTAACATACCCTATGCTGTTGTTGAAAATTCTTTTCTTGATGGGTTAAACCCACTTGAATGTTTTGTTCACTCAGTGTCAACTCGTGATAATTCTTTTGGTGAGAATGCTGATCTTCCTGGCACTTTGACCAGAAAGCTTATGTTTTATATGCGTGATCTCTATATCGCTTATGATGGAACAGTGAGAACTGCTTATGGAAATCAACTTGTTCAATTTTCTTATGGTTGCTTCAAGGGTGATTCTGTTCAAGATCCTTGTGGGTTATTTGGTGGGAGTCCAAATGCTTATGATGGAGTTGGTGGTCAACCTGTTGGTTCATTATCTGCTTGCTCTATTTCTGAAGCTGCATACAGTGCCCTGGATCAGCCAATAAGTAAACTTGAAATTTCTCCACTGCTGAACCTAAAGGTCATCTTTTAAACCAGTTATTTGATTTAGTTTCTTTGTTGTAACACTTTATTGTTTTTATTAGCAGTTTCTAGTGTTTTTGTTCTATTGACTTGCTTGCTTTTACTTTTCTGTTTGCCATGTAAAATATTCTTATGGGGTGTTTATGTTCTGCTGTGCAACATACAGCATATTACACAGCATTTTGTTTATATGTAAAGAAGATTTCCTGTATTTCCTGGATATATATAATAGCAAAAGGAAAAATGAAATGAATATTCTCCTATTCTGTGTTATAAATAAAGGAGAATTGAGAGGATGTTTTTAATGTCTTCATTGCATATGGATATTCACCTGAAGTAGAGTTGGTGTTAGTGCAGAAGATGTAATGAGGGGACATGAATATTTTGTGTAGAGAACATTGATGTGGGCCCCACAGCTGTGGTCCCACTCTGTCCGTAGGGTAGAATATATCTAGTCATAGCTGATGGTCAATTTACTATTCTGTTATTCTAGTTGTTATTTACTTTTCAGTTTTATATTGTTATGTGTTATGATGTAAACMCCAAGGGCAGATGTGTCCTTTCATGTAACTAGCATAACATATAAATATTAAATTGAAGTGGTGGCGGCAGAATATTTGAGATTCTGTTCTTCTCCTCAAAGCCTGTGTTCTACTGCTCTCTCACCACTCTTTCTCCTCCTTCACTTTCTCTTCTCTTCGAACCTGAAGTTTCTTAGTGATCAAGACTGATAGCAGTCTTGAACACCGACATTTTGTAAGAGAACTATGATGCTAGTAAGGTTGTATGGATTATGAATTAGTGTAGCATAGATGAGGATGTTGAGATTGGTGTGTGGTTTCACTACAGATAATTGAAATATAAATTGGTGCATTTACAGGGAAGCTAGGAGTAGCTCCAATAAGTAGTACACTGAAATGATTTAGATGTGCAAAAAAAGCCACTGGCCAAATTAATAACAAGGGATCTATTAAAAGTTGCGCAAGAGGAGATTAGAAAGGCAGTTTTTGAAATGGGCAATAACAAAGCCTTAGTACTTTGGTTTCTCATTGGTATTCTTCCAGGAGCTTTGGGTGATTTTTAACTATGGTCTCATATTGTCATTGGGAGAGTTCTAGGGGTATTATTGATGTGGGGATGAATGTGACACTCGTAACCTTGATTCCTGAACATGAGCCATCTTTAATATGCAATATTGAGGAGGAGAAAGATAGAGGAAATATAGTAGAAAGCAGTCCTGAACAGTGAAGAAAAGTAGGCCCACATCCCAATGACAAGAAAAAAAAGAAACCTAATAATAAGAAAGAAAAACTGCATTTAGACCATGTGATTGAAAGGGACTCACAACTGGTAATTTTGTGGTTGCAGAACAAAGAAAAAGCTCTTTGGATTTACAGGAATGAAATGTGTTACATAACAAATCTGTACTGGTTTCAGCCCTAGATTAGCAGAGAATAAAGACAAAAGAAAGAGAGAGAAGAGATAAAGAAGAGGAGGAGAAGAAAACTGGTTCGATCTAGAGGAGAATTTTCTCTAGTGGGCCAGGTTGTATTTATATGTTTTTAATTAAGTACATAAGGACTCTTATGCCCCTAATTAAGTATGGGATATATAACTTAAACTTGAACATAATAGATATTACATCACACTAATAATATATACCGAAAAGACAAAACTATCCCTGTATAATTGACTCTAACAAAATGACAACATTCAAATGGCTCAGGACATGGAAGTATGATTTCAATGGGTACAAAGGGAAGCTAATTGTATGGCTCATTGTCTAGTAAAACAAAGGGTGAGGAGAGATCAAATGTTCTGAGTGCAAATAGAGAGAGAGAGAGAGAGAGAGAGGGAAGGAGATCGAGCTGGTCTTTGAATACGAAGACCATTTGGTAATGCATTGATCTTCCATACAGATTTTGGTTGGAAGCGTGGTTGTGTTTGGTAATAAAAAAGCTCAGCCAGATTGAAAGACCTATGGGGCTTTTGAGAGTTGGTTTTTGAAGACAAAGAGCATTTGGTAGGACATAGATCATCCATACAAATATTGGTTGGAAGCTTCATTTGAAGTTTCCTATTTTGAAAGATTGAAAGAACAATTCTTGGTCTTTTTCCATTTGGTAACAGCCAAAAAACTGGGTCCTATTAGCTTTTTTATAAGGTCTTTCTATCTGCTAGGCTGTTTGTTATCAATCTGGAAAAGACAAAAGAAATTGTCTTTTGGCTGTTTGTTATCAATCTGGAAAAGACAAAAGAAATTGTCTTTTGATCATTCAAAAGCTTAAAGACAACCCAGAAAGACTTGCCAAACGGCCATATTATCTCCAAATGGGATCATGTATATATGTACATCTTGTGGTCTTATCTTAATAAAATTTGGAAGTTATTGATAAAAAAAGCATATAAACTGTGCTAATTAAGCAACAGTAAGGCCCATAACAAGCTATCCAATTGTGTCAACACCCATAAGCAGATTGGCAAATCCCGAACTCCACACCACTTTGAGAGTAAAAGGATGTGCACCATTTGACAACCAGCATGCAGAAATGAACCCAATCCAAACATAGTTTTCAAGGTGCCAAGGCGATTAGGAAATAGGGGAGCGCTTAGTTGCCTGGTTACCTAGGCATTGCTTAATGTCTAAAAAAATAGAACAAAATGTGGATGAACCTCTATTTTTGCCATTGAAATGGAAGTAAAGGCAAAGCCCTTGTTTTAGTTCAAAAAAATGATGAAGAAATTTTCTTCCAGAAAAAGAAAAAGAAGGGGTAGACCCTTGTTTTTTTGTTCCAAGAAGAGGATCCCTTGTTTTTTGTTTGAAAAAAAGAAAAGGGTAAATCTCTTAAACTACCCCTACTGTTCACGAAATTGACAAACTGTACCCTTACTGTTTACATATTGTCTTTAAAATACCCTAAGTTTTTTGACAATTGACATGCTGGTAAACACTAATGGAAAAATGAAATATCGAATTTGCCCTTCACTATTCATCAAAATTTCAAAATAAAACCCAATTGATGAAAAACCCCTGGTTTCCAATTTTTTCCAAATGCAAATATGGCAGAATGGTGGTTGACTCTGGAATGACGTTTACTATGTTCCCAGCTGGGTTGTATAAAACATCGGTGCTAAAATAGGCCTTGCTCTGAGGTTAGGTTCTGGTGTGGAGGAGGTGAGATCTGGTGCTACTGGTGGAGTACAGCCGTACGGGACAAAACGATGACGAAAGATGCCGTCACGAGCACCGGCACCCCATTCCTCATCTGACCCCTCTCTCTCCATTTTCCCAAGCACGGTTGTTGACCGGTTTAGCAGCAACGAAGATGAAGCTACATTAATTTCTCTGGTGAGATTCCGACGGAGATTCTGACGAGTCGGTTCCTCCATATTATTGTGAGAGATTTGAGGAGCCTTGTGACAGATTATTGTTTGGATGTCGTAGACTTCCTTGTTCGTTGTGCTGCTAATCTTTTCACAAATATGGCGGCCATGGAATAATTCTTCAGGTATTGTCTGCCATTTTTTTCCGCCAGGTAGGAAGCTGCTCTCCAGGTTATTGTGAGAGCCTTGTGACAGATTATCTCCAGTTTTTTTTTTTTTTTTTTTTTTTTTTTTTTTTTTTTTTTTTTTTTTTTCTGCAGCTAAGCTTAGGCTGAGTTTCCGAAGTTTCACTAGTTTCGACAGATTGCTGGGTTTGCAGGCTTCTTTCCCTCTTAAACTGCTTACTACAAATCCACCCAGGAACTGAAGATCTGAAAGGGATCTGAGACCTTTGGGCATGTATTCCAGTAGGTAGCAGGACACATCTCAGTGGGTCAGCTTCTTTAGAGAGGTGATCCCCGCTGGCAGTTCCTCCAGATTATGACATGCTCTGAGATCCAAGACCATCAATTCCGTCAACTCTTGGATTGAGTCTGGCAGCTTTGTGATTCTTGAAATCCCTTGTAGCCTGAGAAATCTCAGGTTTTTTAGGAGACCCAAGTGGTCCAGTAATTGCATCCAGCACCGCTAAATGCTAAAATCCCCGTCGATTGTGATAAACGGTCTTCGGAAGTAGAGAAGACGATGCAAGGGATGTTGAGCTGATCACAGTGGGGGGTGAGGGATGAGACCAAAACTAGTGGAGGATGGGATCGTAAAGCTTCCCCAAAGCACTGGCATCGGCAGTGCAATTTGCCGTTCAGAAGTTGCAGTGGTCACCGTCGCCTGCAACGACGATACCAGAAATCAAAATCACTACCACTGCTGCAACTTCCAATAGCAACGGTGAACATTAAGGGTATTTTAGGAATTATAAAATAATTACCACTCATGTGATGTCACATGTGAACGGAGTGATGGAAAATTAACGACAAGGGAGGTTTTAGACAATTGTAAGAAAAAGAAGTGGAGGAGGAGGGGAAGATCCCCTGTTTTTGTTCCCGAAAAGAAAAAGAAGGGGTGGAGCCCCTATTAAGAGCATACCTTCTACCATTCTACGATTTGTTGATTTCCCTTGCTTCTTCAAAGACGTAGAAGATGTATCACTTGGAACCCTGACGAGGATATCTCTTGAACTTGTTTCCATCTTCAAATATTCATCTATCAGAAATCTTACTGTAAAGAGATTCGGCCGAGTGGGCCTTTGTTTGGTTCAATTATTTATTGTTTTTTATTTCTGCTGCAATGGACTGTCTCTATGGGCCCTTAACACATTTATTTCTTATGTTATTTGGTTCAATTATTTTTTCTTTCTTATACAAGTAAGAAATTGTTGGACTGGTTTTCTTCTTGGTATCAGTGCAGGTTCCCACTTCTTGCTTTTCTTCTCTTAGGCGGTTAGGCCCATACACAATGTGTATGGAGAAGTAAGCCGTTGATCAATTGAAGATTGATGCGGCCCAGTCAGGGGAGATTTCTAGAGAAGTTTTATCACTTAGATTGAGGCCCAAGGCAGGTTCTTGGAGATTTTTCCCAGTGTTGAAGTTTGACCTTTCCTAGAATTCTGTCTTGTTC